CTAGAAAACAGTTTGGCTACCTGTATAAAGCCTTAATCATGTTCATATTCTTTACTCTAATAATTAAACTTCTGAGATTATTAGAAGTAAATAAAAATATGGATATATATGGTATGTAGAAAGGGGCTATCACATTATTTAAAATAATTAAAATTGTAAAATTAATATTTAAATACTGTTAAATTATGATACATTTAAATATGGGTTTACCTAAAATGTTTAGAAAGAATTCTTCATATGAAAGAATGTTTCAAATACAATTGGGGGGGGTGCATTTCAGTGACTCTTAAGGATAATTTTTATTTCAAGGGCATGAGACATGGGAAGCACTGGAGATTGTTTTGTTGTCCAAAAGGGCATTTTGATTAGAACAGATTTTATGAGAACATTTTTATTAGAAGCAATTGTGGAGATGGAGTGAAATTAAGGCAAATAAAATTAACTTCTCCAGAAACAAAGCAAGAGGTATCCCTAGGGGTCACAGCAACAGGAAGTACTAGTCTCAGTGGCCATTTACAAAGGAGTTCTTAAAGTCCTCCTTTTAAAACCAGGGGCTGATAAATAAGGAATAAGCAAGTTTGGTCCATGATCTGCTTTCATAGTTTTACTGGAACAGTCAGGACCATACAATTTTATATCATCTCTGGCTATTTCTATCACTCTGTGGCAAAGTACATTACTCACAAAGTCTAAATATTTATTAATCTGTCCCTTTGGATAAAAATGTATTAACTCCTGTCCTAGATCACTGAAAGTCCCCTTAGGGACTTAGCTGAAGGTGAAGCTTCCAGTTCCCTTCTTGATGGATAAAGGAGATAAGAAGGGAGAAGTTTTCATGTCCTTACCAGATGTATGTCAGGGAGCACCAGAACAGGTTTTTCTTTTGGAAATGTTTTTAACCAACATCCCTAAACCTCATCCAGCTTAATAGCTGATAAAATCTACCTCCTACAGATTAAAAATAGCAAACATAGAACTTCAACCTCAGTAAAAACTACTACAACAAATGTTCTTAATAGAGGACCTACAAAGAAGCTATATAAAGCAAGTTCGGTGCTATAAATAGCCACATTCTACTCCTGGCAATATAATCCCATAGGGTTTTTGGCAATATAGATAGGTTATAGGTTAATTCTGTGTTTGTCCTAGTGAAAAATAAATAAAGTTAAAAAAAAAAGTATATATATGTATGTGTGTATGTATAATCCCTTATCATGGTACTCCCTTCTTTTGCTGTGTTTATCTCCTTCTCTAGAGCCCCATAGGGGCTGTGTTTGCGCAAGTGTCTAGAATACAAAAGGAGTTTAGTGAACATAGCTGAAAAAGAAGGAAAAGAAAGTAATGTTGGAAGGAAATAGAAGGGGCAGAAGCATAGGAGAAAGAAGCAGGTAGATAGGCAGACAACTAAAGGAGTAAGTTGCAAAACACGTAATATAAATTTAACACGTAATATAAATTTAAGTTGAAAAAGCAGGATATTAGGTTGTATACACTACCTGACCTCAGGAATTAAAAAAAAAAAAAAAAACACAGAAAAGAAGGCAAGGAGAAAATACACCAAAATGTTCTAAAAATCCTGCCTCCATGTGATGGGATTATACTTTATGCTTGCTTTTTTTCTATCATCTTCTTTTACTCCCCACTCTTGACTAAGTAGGGGAGACCTGCAAAGAGAAAAGTAGACTTGTATAGTTTGCAGAAGTCCACCAAATGACCCAAATGATTAACAGGTAATCTTCCTCTCTAGTGAAAGCCTCTTTTCTTCATCTAGGTCTAATTAGATAAAAAGATCTAGCACTGTGCCAGTTCAGTGTTATATGTGAACGGATAGATGGTTTTGACTGCCATCTAGAGGAAGAAATAGAATTGACCACAATCTACACGGATGAACAATCTAAAAAACATCAAATGTTCATTTCTATTCCCTAGCAGTGTCCCAAAGTGTGGTGCTATTTAAGACTACCTTAAGTAATATAAGGGTGAGTGCTATTTTAACTTCTTTTTAAATATTGCAATACATATGAGGAAAAAGGGTAACTGCTTTAAATCACTCATTACACAAATATGTGAAGATGAGACAACTATCCTAATTTTAAAAAATAAATAGATTTAAATGTTAAATTATAATATTATACATACAGGTATCACCAAAGTCATATAGTGACTAAAATGACTGAAATTTTGGAAACAGTTGTCTAACCAATTTTTCTGATAGAAGATACTTTCCCTAGTATGTCTGAGTTTGTATATATATAAACTATACAAGTCCATGTTTCCCTTTGCAGGTATATAGATTCATATAGAGGATAGGAATAACAATGTTTTATGAAACACACTTATTTTCTCATCATATAATAAACTATAATTCTGTTTTTTTAAACAGAAATTATATACAAGCAAATACATTTAACACTGCTAAGTCCCTATAAATATTTGCCTTCCATTAAACATGCTTACCTAGGTGGCTAGCCCATGATTTTCAATAGGTAATTCCCTCTCATTTTGACAAGTTTCATTATAGAAGACATATTACAACTTAATCTACAGTTAATTATCAGAGAACTGTTTGAACTCCTATGAACTTATTGCAATGGAATGAATTTAAAGACCTATGTTCTATAGTCATAGTAGCCAATTATTTATCATAGAATTTAGAGGTTTCAAGAAAATCCTGAAGAGTCAATCAGTATTCATTAATTCTTATCTTCACAAATGTTGGAACATGCAAGCAAAAATTACAAGATTCATTTTATTATTTTCTTGGGACAGCCACTACAAATGACAATGATAATGATAAATGTCTCATGTGATTAAGTTTCATATTGCTACCAGTGCTTGTAAGAAAGCTAAAAAATTGAGGAGCTGGAAAATGGAAACAGGATTACTAAGCCTAATTTTAAACCAATTCTTTTTCATCTCCTGGATTCAAACCTACTTCAACCCTTAAAAAAAAAACCCTATAATGAAACCCTCCCTGGTGGCGCAGCAGGTTAAAGCACAGCACTAAGAAGCTTAAGCCACTTCCACATGAGTTCGATTCCTGCCTGCTCTGGAGGAGCTCCACATGGCGAGGCAGACCTCTCCTGACCCGCCCAGTGCTCCCCTCAGCAGTGTACTTCGTTGATCTGCCTGTTCTGCTCCCCACTCTGTCTCTGGTGAATCCTCTCACTCTCCGCATCTCTGGCCTGTACTCCAGTTTTACATGAATAAATAAATAATTTTTTTTTTTGAAGAGAATTCTGTTAGCAAGAAATAGTTGGGGTTATTGAATAGCTGTTGGCTGTTTACCTAAAGTCTCTGCCGTACTTCCTATCTAAGCACTCAGTTTATATCTGAGTAGGCAACCAACTATTCTTTTAGTTTCCTACTTATTTTCTGAGAGTCATTTATACACTTTGTATTATACATAGCTTATTCTTTTTACCCAGATGGTAGATTATACACACTGCTCCATACTTCACTTCTATTTACAAGGTAACTTGAAGACTTGTTATAATTTGGTGTGTAATAAAGCCACTTCTTTTTTTTTTTAATGGGTAAAACTATTCCATTGTATGAATGGGCCATAAGAAAAGACATTTTGTTTTCCACCTTTTGCTATTATAAAAAATGCTGCATTCATCAATCCTGTATATATGTTATTTGACATTGTGAATTCTTACAAATAAAATTGGTATGTTGTATTAGTTTTGGTATTTGCTGCTGGCATTGGGGGAGTGAAGATAACATTAAATTTATGGATTAAAATATAAAGAGCATGACTTTTTAATTTTGAGTAGTCCTACTGAGAGCAGAACTAGCTTTTTTGCTACATGTCATATTTTACTGATTCTAATGAAAACCTTCCTAAAACAAGAGTGTATCTCATAATTCAAGGCACCTTTTAATCATGTCAACAGTTAAGTATGTTGACATGATAAATTCTTGCCTTTCTTGGTCACTCCAGTCAGCAAATAATTAAAGGGCTATTTGAGGAGGAAATAAGAGTAATGGTGTTAGGAAATCTTTTCTGACACCTTCTGGTAAGATTAGGAGAGTACGAACAGCAAAATTTAGAGTCTCAGAGATTTGTAAGCAATTTTTTTCAGGAAATGCTGTATTATCAATGTCCTGAATGATACAAAGGACAGTTTTGTGGGGGGTAAAAAAAAAATTCCAACTCAAAAAAGTGATTCAGAAGAATCAAATTCTAAATAAATACACACATGGTTAGTGATATCATAACTGACATATTTTGCTTAAATTTTCATTTCTATAATTGCTAAGAAATGTGTGACAAAATACCAAGTAAGTCCACAAAATTCTCTCAGTAAATACAAAACTTTTTTTTCTAAGTTCTAAGAAATTATTGCATCAAAGATGCACTAACATTATGTTAGGATTATATTAAAAAAAAAAGTACAACTTACAACCAACATCTCAAAATTTGAAAAAATACTCTGAATTTTATTTTAGGTCCTGGAGTAGCATTTTAAACTTTCTCTCATATAAACTTTACACATGCTTAAGGCATTTTATCTTTTCTTCCATTAGACTTTCTCATCAGGATGCTATTATTTTTGCCTAGATTATAATGGCAACCTACTGAATTCTTCTATTTATAATTTTTAATGGATGCTTTCCAGTTTTCCAAATATGCAGTGAGATAAATGTTAAACTCAGGTTGTTTTAAACTAGCTGCAAGAATTTCAGTTCAATGAAGTGTGTTACTCTTACTGCTCTGTCCTCAGCACCTTGTATACTATCTTACACAAAGCAGGTAATCAATATTTATATGTTAAATGATTTATATAAATTGCATCTTTGTAAAATTTAGCCAACTGTTCCCCATCAAGATATTGAGCTTATAAAAACAGACAAGTATGACTGAGGCAATAGTATTCATATTATTCATTTTTATTCCCTCCCATATAGTGATGCACAAATCTGGTAAGAAACTGTATTTTACAACTTAAGACTATGTACGTTTAATTACAGATAATTTTATTTTAAATACTTACCGTTTGGATCTTATATCTGATGAATCAAATTGAATATTCATGGGCCCAGGATTTATTTCATGATCTACGTCGGGGATGAGCAGATGCTTAGAACTATTATCCATATTTGCCATTTTTCTTAAGACTCTAATCACTGAAGAAGTCAATCCTATATAACCAGAAAAGAAAATTCAAAATTTAATTAAAAATTATTTTACTACTAAATAACATATATGAATGTATAAGAACTGGAAAACTATTGGAATTTACTGTACATAGCTCTTTTTAAAAAAGACAAAATATGCCTTAGAAACTTGCTAAGTAAAAATGGAGTTATTTCTTATTTTTCAGCTCATAAAAAATAATTGGGGTAATCTATTTGTTTGTAATAAAACAAATTGGGCTATTTTTCCTGTAGAAAACAACTAAAACATGATACAATTTAAAAAAATCTTTTAAAAAGCATCAAAATGGTGAGGAAAATCAGGCCATTGAGGTAAACTTAAGGAATGTAGAGAGATAAAGTTTAAGAAAGCTTGCTTCTGCTCTGAGTGTATCTGCTATGTCAGGAGAAATTCAGCTGAGGTTTTCAAGAGAAATAGAAGTCAAAACTAGTGCTCATCCACAGTAAGGAATTACTACAGTAAGAAATCATCTCCTCTCTCTACTTCCCCATAATATAGCTAGAACTACAAACAGCTTTACCATTAGATTAGGGGGTTAACAAGAACAGGAACTACAAAGTTTTGATATTGACAAAGAAAACTTAAAACTGTGAATATAATTTAAGATTAAATGTTTTGGTAGAACTTCTAGGTAACTGGAAAAGGCAAAAGTAAATTTTTAAAAAAAGATTTACTTATTTATACATACAGAACTGGGGTATAGGCCAGAGATACAGGGGTGGTGAAAGGATTCACCAGAGACAGAGCGGGGAGCAGAACAGGCCGACTGATGAAGTACACTGCTGAGTGGAGCAGTGGGCGAGACAGGAAAGGTCTGCTGTGCCATGTGGGTCACCTCCCTGGCAGGGGAGCGAACTTATGCCGCAGAGAGCTTTGTAGTGCTGTGCTTTAACATCACCAGGGAGGGCCCACAAATGTAAATCTTTTCTATGAAGACACACCATCATCCAAGGCCTCAGAGAAAATCTGCTAGTTATCTTTTAGGGTAATAAGCAGTACAGAGTCAAAAACAACTAAGTATATAAAGATATAAAGTACTAAATGTGAGAACCAGAAGAAGCAATGGCAGATATATATGCACAAGAACTTCAACTATAGGGACTGTCGGACTATAAAACAATTATGCTTCCTATGTGTAAAAAAATTCAAAACATGGAAAATTACAAAAGTAACACGCCTAAAAAGAACAGAGTGAATTTTTAGACCACAAATAAATATCAATAGCCAAAATTTAAAACCCAATAGACAGTTGAAAAATTAAAGAGAAAAATCAATAAACTAGAAGACAAATCAGAAAAATATTCAGTAAATGGCAGAGACACAGAAAATGTGGAAGAGAATTTAAAAGCATGAAACAAGCATGAAATTGGAAATCCTGAAAGAAGATGGCAGAGGTAATATCTGAACTAATAAGGGTTGAGGATTATCCATAATTCATGCAAAATGACAATCTATAGAAGACATTTAATTAACACACGTTAATAAGCAATATATCACAAGATTGGATAAAAAGAACTGAAACCAAACCAAGGCAGGGGAAATGTCTAGTGAAGGTTTTGAAATTAGTGTTCTATGATCCTTTGTACCATCTAGACCAATGTTGAACTCTGATACACTGTGTCGTAATTTTTTTTTTAGGAAATGTAGGGAACACAACCATAGTTCCATCATTTAATTTACTTTTAACAATTAATGTATTTTCCCAGATGTGTTGTAATTTTAAAGGCAATTAATATTTCAACAGCAACAACAACAGCATTTAACTTGAAATCTAGTGGAGGAGGACAAAGAATGAAACAAACAAGAATATACGCCTACAAATGACAAAAAGGAAAAACAAAAAGAGGTAGGACAATTAAAAACTACAAAATGGATAAAATTCTCCCATTCTTTCTTAAATTCATGCTAATCAGGTTTTTTCCCCATTACTTCACAACAATACCTCATTTTCATTATAAATCCAATGGTCATTTCTCAGACTTTAACAAACTTGACCTATTACAAGTATTTTGCCATAAAGGAACACGCTCCTCCTTAATAAACCGTATTTACTGGGACTCCAGGTTTTCTCTCACCGGCCCCTCCTGCTCCTCTGTCTTCTTTACTGTTTGGTCCTGGCCTACAGTGAGTATTCAATAAACATAACTATTATTTTGATTACGAATTTGGTGCTTAAAAAGTAACTAGTAAAATTTTATCTTGGTTTAATTTAAGAGCCTGAATAAAATCAGCTGATAGTCTTACAAGCCTTTAGTATAAACTCAGTGAGGTTAAAAAAAAATAATAGTAGTTTATATAAATATTGAACTGTCCTAAAAAGAATAGAAATAAACTAACAGGAAAGAACTCACTTTGAAGAAGAAAACTGGATGTCACTTTGGAGAAAAACTCAGAAGGTAAGTCAATAAAAGGTAGTGGGAGATGATACTAATATTTATTTTCAAAGTGCTTAAACTGAATCAACCCAAGATTCTTGGAACTGGTCTCCTCAAGACATCCAGCCCTGCATGCTAAATATTTTGAGCTAAGAACAATCAAATGTCCTCGAGATAGGGAAATTTCCTGTCTTTCCTCCACTCTTTACCCTTTTCTAATTTAAGAATAGTTATGTCCTAAGCTTCTGCCCTGCCCTTTTCCTCATGGAAAGTCCTTGTATGATTAGAATAATGTTGTGGGGGAGGGAGGGGTGTCTTACTCAGTTTTAAGGTTCATCTCTAAAACATGTCTTCCCTAGCTGAGAATCTAAATCTATACTCATTGTATAGATGAAATTATTTTCCCTTCTTCTCATATGTAAGGATTAAGGCATCCCTTCCCCTCTCCTAGATACCTTGGCGCCTCAAACCAAACTTGTCTTCACAACCAGTGTTGGGACTTGCATAATCATTGTCATTCCCTTGTGCACATTATTATTATTATTTTTTTTTACCTTTTGCTAAGCTTTCTGAGACTATTTTGATAACTTGTCCAGACCAAGAAGAACCCAGAGGGTGGAGGGCTTTCCCCTTTCACCTTGACAATTCATTGCTTAAAGAGGCCCAAGTTTTGTATGTTGTTTAGCTATAACTAATCCTTATACTTTGGAAAATAGGTATTACTTTCAAATTAAAAAGAAACAGAAACTGAAGCTCAGAGAAGTAACAAGAAAAAAAAAAATCACTTAACTATTAAAACTAAGACTGGGATTGAAACCAAGTTATTAGATCTCAAATAGTCATTACCCTGTGATATCTGCTTTAAAGAGGCAGGCTATTTGGAAGACAAAAGCATCTAAAAATCAGATCTTATCTGGATTTGCAAATAAAGAGCAATAACATATAGAATGGCAACTAAACCTTAAACTCTTTAAAATACAGCCAGGACTATAAAGCGTGAAAACCTCTGCCCAAGTGTCTGGATTACAAACCAATTTATATTTATATTTAATATACAATTTATATTTCTTGCAGCAAACTAGTTCAGACGAATTTGTTTTTCTTGATACAAACTTTTTGTCTCAAGGCTAGATATTTCCTTAGCCAGCAGCAATCCTTCCATGGCAGTCACCAGGAGAATTTGGTCAATAGCCAAGACAGGACAGAGAAAACATATCTGAATAAACAATGGCAGAACTATATGGCTAGGTTTCCTGACTTACCTTACTAACCATTATTCTGTTTTGGATCCTACATTAAACCAAACGTAGAAATACAAGATTCTTTTAGCTCCTAGATATTAAAACTTTCGCTAAAAACTGACTGGTAGGAAACCAGGAAAGAAAAAAAATCATCTAGAAAGGTCCATGTATTTCAGTCAGTCTTGCCACAAAGTGATAATCATGGTTGCAGAAAATGTGAGGGATCTTCAGGAATCAATGTTGGCTCCCGTTTATTTACAAAGCAAATCTGAAATTTTGTGTTGTTGTCAAATTAGATATTTAGTCCAAAAAAACCTGCTGCTATCTCCATGACTTAAATCAGTTGTTCAAGCTGAAAGGCACTAGAGTGCCTTATAGTAAGATTTGACAAAATATAAGTAAAGAAGGATTGTAAGGAAGTTGGTCATTTTCAGTTGTCTCAATAAGTCAGTATTAACTTCAAATTCACAAAGAATGCTCTTTCAAAAGAATTTTAATGTCTATTTGAATATGAATAGAACTATAAGATATACTGAAGTTTGATGAATTAGGTTGAGAGGTGCTAAAGTGTTCCACAGCTAGTTATTACATAGGTAATAGCACAAAATAGTGCTGTCAATGATTATCTAAAATGTTAAATCTTCATATGCACTACTTTTCTATAAACATAACACTGCTATAGGGAGCTAAATATAGAAAATGATACAAACATATGTGATTCTCATATCTCACTAAATTCTCTGATCTTTAAAACAAAGTACCAGATGCAAGAATGTTAATGTCAAAGCTAAGCCATTTAATAGTGACTCCCTAATCATTAAGACATATTTTAGTATGGGCTTTTAGGAGAAGTTTATTGACTTGCATGTTGGTGTTTTCCTAAAGCACTTATTACCATAAAAAGGACAGAGATTCAACAAAAAAAAGTTAGGCTGCTAATACAAGATTTTAAAAAAGATATTGACTCTGTTATTGTCTCTCAAAGAATATCAATCTTTGCACATTAGGTTCTGAAACTTCCTTCACAATACATTGTGAAAGCAAATCCTTATTACCTAAGACCTAGCATTAATCTGCAATAAAACAGTTTTTGCTCAAAGTAATGTAATATGGACCCATATAAGTACTGATAATTAGTATTACTTAATATTTCTGCACATGGCAGAGTTTCAGATACTATATTTATATTCAGTTTATTAGGCTAGAGGTTGACAAATTCTATTCTGTAAAGAGTTAATAAGTACATATGCTTTTTGAGACAACATAAATGAGTAAGGATGATTGTATTTCAATTAAACTTTATAAAATAAATATTTATACATGACAATTGGTCAAATTTGGTCAGCATTCACCCACCTCTGTAGTATGGAACCATACCATAAAAAAGGTAATCTGCTTTCACTAGAAAGCAGTTGTGCTATATATATGCATTTTCTTAAAAATCACTAACAGCTATGAAGTCCAGTAACAAACTTAACCTAAACTACTTCTTTATGAACTGTTTAATGGTCAGCCAATAGAACTAAAATGCTCCAATTCCAATGTGAATACTTTCAACCTGATCAGTAAATGCTTCAAAAGGTGCTAAGTTTGACAGTGCTGGAGAAAAATTCAGTCAAAGAAAGAAATCACCAGTCAAAACAGGGCAATGGCACAAAAGAACAACTCCTCCCACATAAGGAACACTAAATGCTTTCAGTTATATTTAGGCAACAAGCAAGAAAACAACAGATTAAAATGCAAATGTATTATAAAACGCAGGTAGAAAATTTTAGTAGAAAATTTTAATCTCAGTGATCTATTTTTACTCTTACTTTAAAAAATACTATAAATTATTATTTTAATTGTAATTCAAGGTGGTAGTCCCATCCTCCTGTTTACCCTTTATTGTAAATATTTAGGGTATTATAAAGTCACAATAGCATGCTACTTTTATGTATGTAACTGAAATGTGTGCATAGGTTGAGATAAGAAATGACACTTTTCAGCAGTCCAGTGGACATACTTTGGGGGAGGAATGTGAACTTTATTTTCTTAGGGTCAAAGAAACTATCGGTGACAATAGTTTACTACCAACCTTTTAACTTAATATGAAATTTGTAGTTGTTTGTGAGACAAGGAGACTTTTCAAGTTAAGAAAAGGTTTTGTTTGACCTTTTCTTCAGAAGTTAAAAAACTTTCCCTACAGCGACTGCCTGTTACTCTGTCAGAAAAAAAAGGAGACCAGGTTCGAGCTTGCTGATCTACTGATCTCAGCAATCAATGAGTAAGGAACTGCTGAGGAGTAAAGCAAATTAGGTTTCAATCAGGTTGGCCATTAAGTGGCAGTCTAGTGATGAATCAATCTTTCCAATTCGGTAGACTTCAGATTCTTCATCTGTAAAGTTGGAGAATGTGACAGACTAGCTGCTCTCAGAGGCCACTCTATTATTCTAAGACAATAAAACCGTGATGCCTCCTACTTTCAAAAATGGGGGGCGGGGGTGTAGGAGGGTTGGAAGCGTGAAGACTTACCGATCTGGGCCCTCACCCCAGGTATGGTCCTAGCTCAACGTACAAAGGGATTTCTTGCCCATCTCTCCTCAAGCTCTTCCTTACTCGGGACAGAGAACGTGGATCCCCCAATTCCTCTCCTCCCTCTTCTGTTCGGGGTATCCCATCTACCATAACTCCTCCCTTTCCCTAGGGCTCCAGTAGACACCCACTCCCAAAGTCCTTCGAATTCTCGCCCGGGTAGGAGTCCCTGACTTTGTCGCACCTGGGCAGGTGAGGAGGGCGCGCCGCCCCTCCGCAGAGGTCTCTGCGGCACCGGATCTTGGCTTCACCTCTCACCCAAGAAGCACCTACTCCGGAGCATTTCACCAAAGAGTATCTCCAGGTGACAGCCGGCTCCGCCCTAAACTCGGCCGATCCCACCGCCTCCCTTTGTCCCCACCGCGCCCTCTGTACCGGTGAGTTTGCAAGACCAGGGACTGTGCTCTACCTGAATGGACCGAGCCCTCAATCTCGGAGAACTCGGTAGGAAGGCGGGGGAAAGCACGGGGAGCCTTCCCAAATCCTCTCCATTTGCAGAAGCAGATCTTCTAGTCCCGCGAACAGGAAGAAGCAACGGCCTCGGCCGCGGGGGCTGGCGGGGGATGGAGTTCTGAACTAGCTAAATGGGCCGAGACTGTCAAACTTCCCGCTGCTGAGGACTACAACTCCCAGAGGGCGCTGCGATATGAAACTCACCACTCGGGGAAGAACCCAGCCCCGCGGCTTTCGGAAGGATAGGCTGCCGCGTGATATTCACGCATATTTTGGGGCTCCCCTACCTGGGAGGTAAAGCATCTAGGAAGAGAGCCTGAACTCCTGTCATAGAAGCCACGGAAGAATGTGCTGTGGTGCTTTCTACTTCTGTGGCTGATATCACATTTATCTGTTTTTCTTCTCGGGCTTTCCTGACTGGTGGCTTGTACTCTTAAGTGCTCGAACCGTTTGAGTACCGGGAAAGTGGTGTGAAAAAGAACTGGGCAGTAACTCTCCCTCTCTTGTATAAACACTTTTATCCTAACGTGTTTACAATTAGTCTCTAGGCTACAAGAGGGAATTTGGGAAGATTTTAGCTCCTCTACCCTCCCTAGCAGTTTCTTCCAAAGTCACCCCCAAATAAACATACAATCTAAGTAAAATCAGTGTGCTTGTTAGAAAAAGTTAATTCAAGGTAAGTGCCCTGTAAACAGAGGGCAACACCTACGCCCTTTTTATCTAGGAAGCCAGTGACTTTTAAACAAAACCAGACAGAAACAATGCTGTAATAAGATACCATAATTAAAGAACCCAGGTACTAATATTGCATGGCAAGAATTTTAAATGTATCTCTTTCGATCTTACCATGACGCTAACAGTACATATTACCCCTATTATACAGAAAAGGAAACACGACAGAATAGAAGAACCAGAATTCAGATTTTTGAATTGGAATTTCAATGTTGAATTGGAATCTTATTCCAAGCCCTATGCTCTCAAACACTATCAAACATTGTTTCTATTGCTATTATTGATGGATGGACAATTTTAGGGCAGGAAAAAATCATGAATGTTGCCTTTAATGCAGATATAGATTATTTTGCTGATGGTGCTCTAACTCAGAACCTTTTGCAATTGCTCTTTGCCCTGCCATCAAGTCAGCAGTACATTCTTTTGATAACTTTCAGTGATAGCAAAATTTTCTTTGAGTTTCATATAGAGAAAATTTTAGGCAAAACGAAAGCACAAAAGTAAATGGTATGGAATGTTATCAGTGAGAATGACAGAGTAATAAACTTGAAAACGGTTATCCATTAAAGCAACAAATTAGTTGGGAAACTATCAGAATTAACTTTTTTTGGAACTCTGGAATCTAATAAAAAACAACAATCAGAGGAACACAAGAATGTTGAGCCTTGGTAGGAGTTCTGTGAACATCTCCACTTTCCAACTTAGCAGTAGCTAGAAGACACATTCCTGTGTAGGTTGTTACCACAGATAATAAATATGAGCCTCACACGCAAAGAATTGTACTTTTGAGTTTTGCACTAGCTGGTGCTTCCCTAAAGGTTTATCTCAAGAACCTACCTTTATTTTATTTTTAAAAATTTTTCCTATCTCAGAAGTAACTTACCAAGGCAGTGTTTGTGAAACACATTTAAAGCAATGTTTGTGCCTACCCAGGGACACCAAAAAAAAAAAAAAAAAAGGCAAATAGATTAGCCAAGGCACCACCTAATTATTACCAAAATCAGGGTCAGCAATACGCAGATCAAAAATACCTAGGAAGGAAGAGGTGAGGCAGCAGATACTTGGGGGGAATAGAAGTTTTGAAACATTCATTTTTCTAGACACATGCTCAGAACACTAAGAAGATGTTAAGCTCTCATCTCTTGTCTCTGCACGTGAAGGAAGTGAAGCCTAAGGCATTGCCTTCACTGACTAAGCTTTGAAAGAACACCCCAATGCATGACTGATAAACACAGACCAGGAGATTTTTTTTGTTTTGGATGCATTATTTTTTTTTCTTTTTGTTACTAGGCATTAAGTAAAGGATATCTCTGCTAAATCATTACCTGAATTAACTTAATGACTAAAGAGCATAGAGACTTCAGTGGTCATACAACAAAGTATACAAATTATATAGTATTTGTAAGCTGTTAGTTAAGAAGCTTGATCATATTCAATCTTGATTTCCTAAAATTAAGACTTTATAGGTGGTGTTTTGTGCTTCCTATTGAATATCACATTGAGAAGCACAGTATTTCTGGAGGTATTGTTAAGTAATATTAAATTATAGTAATGTATAGGCTATTAAGTGAGTTCATATATTGTCTCTTGCAAAGTTCCTTTTCAGCTTTTCACCAGCCACTGAAGATTAGCAATCTTTGTTGATTACCTAATAGATGAAAGACTCATGGCTCCCTTGCAACTGAATCATCTTTTTCTCAGTACTCTCTTACTAAGTGGTTAGGTCTAAACAAATCAAGACATTTATGTAGTCCTTTAAAAGTATATGCTAATTTGAAAAAATATTTTATTCATAAATAACCATACTTATAATGGAATGTGCCTACTGACTGACTTCTTAAGTGTAAAAATTAGATAGGAATACCACTACTTTATTTACTACTCCAACTGGATTGTGTGTAAGATTTGTTTGAATTAATAGAAATCCTAAAGAATAAACTTTACATATATGATACTGTCCAAGAGTATTTATTTAATGTTTAAGCCATGAATTGTCTCAGGCTGGTAGTTGAGATGGTGTCTAACAAACATTTTCCTCAAAAATTTTTAAAATATTCTGTAGTGTCTATCGTAGTTCTATCATAGTTCTGGAGCTGCAAATCATTAGTCATTATAGTAAGTCCTTACTTAGTGCTATAGATAGGTTCTTGAAAATTGCAACTTTAAGTAAAATGATGTATAACAAAATTCCATACCAATATGGGAAGAAAATATATAGTCTACATGACAGTGACCTCAGCTGGGAATCAGTTACTTCCCCACTCATCAACATTATAACTCAAGTACATTATTTGAGAACCTGCTATATTTTCCTGGCCCATGGCAAGAATCAGCATACTTTTTCTATAAAGGGTCCAAGAGTAAATATTTTCTGTTTTGCAGCCATATGATCTCTTTCAAATACTACTCAATTCTGCCTGTATATCATAAATGTAGCCAAAACAGACTATATGAACAAAATAGGGTAGTGTTATTCCAATTTATTTGTAGAAACAGGTACTGGAGTGGATTTGTCAGTTTATAGTTTCCTGAACTCTGGCCTAGAAGATACAGAGTGGAGATTCTCTTTTATTGACCAGAATTCTTTTAAAAGGAGGAATTTTTCCTTGAAAGTTTGGTTACAACAAGGTAAAGTATGTTTAGGACATGCAATATAAACACTTGCATATTTATTTTTAGTAGTTCTCTGTTGAGTGTGATGATATATGGGCAATAGCACAATGACTGGAACCCGGCCTTTCATCCAGGAGTACAGCGCCTCATCAGCTTTCTAAAACTGAACCTAACGCCTATATAAGGAACCCTTTCCCCTATAACACTGGCAGTAACTGCAGACCCCACCCTCAGGAGCTCTTTCTCAGCTGCTGCCTGGGAGCAATAAACGGCTTTTTCAGCCAGACTCCTGACTTTCTTCCTTGCGGCTGGATATAGAAATTGGGACAAAACATTCTCAGAATGAGTTGGTTGCCTACCATTTTGCAAAGCTAACCAATGAAAATTTTTGTTGTGGGTTTTTTTTTGTTTTGTTTTTTTTTGGTATTATTGAACCCACAAATTTAAAAATTTACTTAATATACTTCTATTCTTTGAAGTTATTTTAAAATTTTAATTTATAAAAAATTTGCAAACTGTGCAAAGAACTCTCATATATTCTTACTTCAAAATTACCAATTGTTAACATTTTGCCATATTTGCTTTAAATTCTTTTGCTTCATCCCTCCCCTCTATCCCTTTACTCCCCCCAACACCCTGTTATTTCCTAAATGATCTGGGACTACGTTGTACAAAATATATCTCTGCTTTTAAATTTATCTGTGATTATTTCCAAGGAACAAAAATGTTCACAGTACAATTACCAAATTAGAATATTTTTCATTGTTAAAATGCTCTTATTTAATCCACAGACCTTATTCAAATTTCATCAGTTGTTCTACTATTGTCCTTTATAGAATGTCATTTCACATCCAGACCCCAGCACAGATTGATCATGTATTGTATTTTATCTTTGTCTTTTTCAGCTACTTTAATTTAGAATGGGTTTTTATGCTTTTCTTTCTGCTTCATGACTGATATTTTTGAAGAGTAGAATGCCCCTCCATTTGAAGTTACTCAATGAGGTTACCTCGCAATTTGATTCAAGTTATACAGTTTTTGCAGGAATAATACATTAGTATTATTTTGTAGTGGCTTTCTCACTTCATCACATCAGGAGGTACATAATGTCAGCCAACACATTGATCGTCAAGTTCTTTAGTGAACCATGTCCCCAGTTTTTATGGTTTTAATAAAAACCCTCTCATTGAATTTCCACTGGTTCTGTATTATTTTATGGAGGATTTGTGACACGATATTTCTTCTTATGCTAACTTCAGACTTGGTCTCTTGGAATGCTGTCTTTGGGAGGTTTGTTCACTTGCATATGTAGCCTGAGAATCTGCAGCCTGTGAGGAATATCAAACTAGTTGCTTGAAAAAGGAAAAATGCCTAGTCAGCACCCAACTCTTGTAGCCATCCTAGTCACCAGGTGTGAGAATAAAGAAGTCATCTTGAATATTTAACCAAGTTGATATGGGACTTTCAAATGAGTTAAATCCTCTAAAGTAGCAGAGCTGGTGACCAGGATGACCTGGTGAGTCCTCATCCATGAGTTTCAGAAACCCAAAAGCAGACTCACAAAGAGAAATAAAAGGGTTTATTCACACAGAGAGTGATGAAAAAGGGTTAATGAAGAGAGAGATAAAAAAGAAAAGACATTTTCTTACTGGCAGGTGGTAGATGCCATTTGTCTTACTCCAGATAGCATCAGCTGAACAGAGACTTGG